GGAGCTACTGGGAGGCCATACTGGGAGGCTGTGGCCACCACACTGAGTTGTACCCAAGCAGGAGGGGGGTTTCTAATGCGCTTGTGCAGCCCTGCATGTGCCGGGGGGGGGGTCACAGCGGGCTGGGGGCGTGCTGAGCACCAGCACCAGGCCCCGGGGAGCTGCAGCACAAAGGGGGTGCCAGAACCTGACCGGGGGGGCCACGGCAGGGAGATTTCAAGGCCAAGCAGGGTGGCTGCGTGGCTCGTCCTCAGCAGCGCTCGGGTCCTGCTGCATCCATCGCTGCCGGGGGCTGCATCTTCCCAAAGGGTGTTGCTGCTTCGTGTTGGTATCGTTGGATCGGGGTGCTTGGGGAAGGGTCAGGAGCACGAATCCATTGATGGCTGAGGGTGTCTGTGCGCTAACATCACCCGAGCTCTTTCAGAGGTTGCCGTGTAGGTCTGGGCTGTAATTACTGTTGGGGAGCTGACGAGCCTTCAGCAGGAGCTCTTGGAGAGGTCGGTGCATGGGCGGGCGAGGGATGGGGCGTCCCTGCGGGCTTTGAGCTGCCTGGGCTGGGGGGTTGGTGCTGGCTGCCCCCAGGTCACTGTGGTCCGACAGCAGCCCTCAGAGCCTCCTTGGACTGGGGTCTGGAGCAGGATGCAGTTAAACCCAGCTCCCTGCCTAAATATGCTCGTGCCTAAAACAGGAGGCGCAAAACAAGCGTCTCGGTGCCCTTCTTGTTGTGGGGGGGTTTGGGCTATGGAGAGTTGAAGTGGCTCCCGGAGCCCCGCGGGAGCCCGGGTGTGACAGGGACTGGATCCAGCGCTCCCAGATCCCAGCCTTGGCTCACGCCGGCCTTTCTCCCACGTGCTGCGATGCTCAGGTTGGAGAGGTCCTTCTGCAAAAATTACAAGACCTGGGATGACAGTATCTGCAATGCACAGCGGCGGTGTCTCTTCGCTGTATCTGGTTACTGTTTGCATTCGGCTCTATCTTGTCATTTTGCTAATTCAGCTTCTCCAGCGCTGAAAAGCATTAAAAACTTTAATAAGGAGAAGCAGATTAACTCCACTTTGCTGTTATTTTTCAAGGAGATTTTTGTTTGTCAAGACATTGTGCCTGAGGGGGACTCGATCAGAAATTGGAACTCCTGAAAATGAGTTAATTAAAAAGCCAATGAAACTGCCGCTGTCCCTCCCCTCGGTGGAGTGTGCCGGGGCTGCTGCTGCTGCCCATTTTAGAGGGACGCAGTCGGTGCTGCCTTGTTAATCACTAACAGATTCGTGTTATAATTGTTAACCGGAGGAAGCCTGCCTTGGTCAAGGCAGTGACTCACCAGGATTTCATTTACCTGCTGCTCTTCTCCTGGGACTGTCACAAAGACTGAATTTTTTAAAATTTAGTTAACTACACGATGTTCTTAGCTGCGTTCCCCCAGCTCTGGTTCTCTCGGGTCTGCAGCGTGCATGTGTGTGTGTGTGTGCTGGTGCAGCTCCCGTTGCTGTGTGCACGGGTTCCCTGACATGTGTGCCCAGCAGACTTGGTGCTTGCATGATGCTGGCTCCGCTGTGCATGCCCGTGCACATGTGTGCACATCTGTGTTTCGGGAGGGCCCCGAGCCCTCGTTAGTCGCTCATTTTGCAGCATCACGGACATGACTTTCATTGTAATTATAATCTCAGCCTTTGTAATTCCTCATACCTTCTGCACAGCTCTGCTGCAAGCGAGCTGCCTGTTTTATCGGTTGTAACAGGGCTGTCGTTTCAAATCCTCTCTCAGACCATTATCTCCCTTTGATGCTTTTGAAGAGCCAGCGATATGTTAATTCTACCTTGGCCCTCTCCTCTTCCCTTCTCTTTGTGCCAACCCGCGCCCTGCCAGATGTGGGGCCGCTGGGGGGCTGCTGGGGGGCTGCTGGGGCTGCCCCTGGTCCCACAGCAGCGTTGGTGGAGCTGCTGGTGGGAGGCACCCCGAGCTCAGCGCTGTGCCCCCCTCCCACGTTGCCACCTTCCCCATGGGGACGGGGCGCACCTGGGTCACGGGAACGGGGGGGGGCTCTGGGGGAAATGGGCTGGTAGAAAATGAGCTAAACCGGGCAAAAAGCCGGCTCTGAAACCTGCTCCGCGCCCCGCAGAGCTCGGTGCCGTGGCAGTGCCGGCAAGGACAGATGGAGCCTGCGATGCCCGCGGGGGAGATTCTGCCCTCACCGCATGGCACCAGTTTGGCAGCCCCAGACCTGGAGCAGCGCAAGGAGATGGGGCTGAGCCCTGCCAAACCACCAAACCAAGCACCCCGCTGGGCACCTTCCCAATTCGGGGGGCTCCGTCTGCGCCATGCGGAGGCGAACTGACCCCGGACTGATGCTCTGGCTGGGGAGCTGGGAGGGGGCCCAAAGCCACGGGTGTCTGTGGGTGTGGGGGTGCCGTGCTGTGCCATCCTGGCACCCGCTCACCCTAACCACACCGCATCGCTTCCAGAATGTTCCCCATCCCCTGCCTGGGCACTCGGGGTTCAGGCGAGCTCATCACTGGTTTGATGTGGAGTGGCTGTGTGTGGTGGGGGTGTGATTTATGGACTTTGTGATAAGCCTGTCCAGTCATCCTAAAATAATAAATAAAATACATACCAAGGGCTGGTGAGAGATAGGATCAGCAATATCAGGGCCTGAGGAAAATTACTGCGACTCTCCAACAGCAAAATAAGGAGTGTGGAGGAACACAAGCCAGAGAGGGAGCAAGTTGGGAGCATCACCTCGGGGCTGGGTCCTGGCCCTTCGGGCTGGGGGGCTTGGCCCTGTCCCACTGCTCTGCCCCTCCTGGCTCCTGTGCTTGGAGCCCGAGCGTGACCTTGGTCCTGCGTGGGGCTGGGAGAGCCCGCGGCGAGTCTGGCAAGGAGGAGGGTGAAGGATTCACTCCTGTTTTCTTTGAAATTGGCTTTGGTTTATGTGGGATCCCCTGGGCAGCCTTCCTGGAGAGGCAGCACCCCAGCAGGGCTGTGGGGTCCTGGGCAGAAGCCCCGTTACAAAGCAGATCCATCTGCTGTGGCACTGGAGATGTTCCCAAACCCAGGAGCAGCACATCAAGCCCTCCAGCACCGCTGCGGTCCTGCTCACCCCCAGGAGACGCAGAGATGGGTTCATCAGGAGCCCGCTGCTGGGCTCCGTCCCGTGCCCAGGCTGCAGCTCCAGGAGCTGGCCCCATTGCTGGATGCTCTGGGTGGCTTTGTGCAGTACTAAAACGTGTTCCAGAGCAGTTTCTTGCTCTCAAGCTCCCGGTGTTTTGGAATAGCGTTACGTGCCCAGGATAGGCTTGGATCCTGCTGGTTGTTGTCTCGTGGTGCTTGGTAATCAGGGCTCTGGGCTTCTATTCCTGGTTGTGCCTCTGAGTCACGGTGTGCCCTTGGAAAAGACCTTTGTGCCTTGAGGCTTGGCTGCATGAGCAAACTGCGCTTGTTTGACTTGAATCACTTCGAAAACAGCTTTAGTTGGTTCAGTGCAGAACTTGTGGTGGGTCTGCTCATGTCTTAGGGAATAGTAATGGAAATGCACCTGTGTCGATCAGAACAAGGGAATTTGGAGGCTGCAGATCCGTCTAACAAGGGACCTTACAAGAGGGTTTGTGCTGATGTAGAGTTGACCTCCAGTTACCTTGCCAGGAAGGGTTGATACCCCGGTGTCAGAGACCTTGGATGAACAATTCTCCAAATTCTGCCCGAGCTCTGCCTCTGTGCTCCCCGAGCACTGCTCCAGGAGGTGCCTCGGCAGCCACCAGAGCACTGCAGGGGCTGGGGACTGGGGTCTTGGTGCAGGAGCTTGCTCTGTATTAAACCAATAATAAGGAAAGCATCCTCGACCCAGGCGCTAGGTTTGCAGCCGTGGTGATTGTGGTGAAGGAGATCCCGAGAGGAGCAGGGAGATTGGTGGCTTTGAGAGGGGAGGCAAAGAGAAGCCGAGAACTTTGATCCCAATAAAAACCAGTTGGGACAGAAGCTGCTCTGCAGGTGTCTCTCCCACCCCCACCCATAATTTGCATGCTTCAGTGATAGCAAAGTGCGTTCCCTTCCCAGCCGGGTGGCTCACACTTGTTGTCACCCAGCCAGGTGGGTCACACGTGTGGCCACCCGATCCGGCGCGCTGCTTCCTCCGGCACAGCCCCGCGCTGCAGCTGGCGAGGGCTGGCGTCAGCGGGGTGCTGTGGGACCGGCCCCGGCGTGGTGCTGCCGGGGTGCTCGCGGTGCTGCTGTGTGCAGAGCGTGTCCCACCCTGCAGCACTGCCACTGCCCCAATCCCAGGGAGGAGCGCGCGTTCCTTGCTGGCCGTGCTCTCCGTGCGTGGTCCTCGGAGGGTCTCGTGCCCCTCTGGGGATGCAGCTCGGGGCTCAAACGCACCCACTGCCCTTCAGGGGTGTCTCAGCCACAGCTCTGGGCAGCCTCAGGAGTTTCGGTTCCCCTTCTCCGCTGGTTGTCAGAGGGTGGCTTGGGAGAAGGAAGCTCCCGAGCTCTCCAACTTGCTGGGCCGCGGCTGCTGCCAGCGCCTGTCACTCGCTGTAGCACATCGGTTTGACACCGGTGGAAACGCCGCGAAGAAGCACCAGAGGGAGGTGGCAGGGGCAAAGCTGGGGGGATTGGAAGAGCCCTGTAAAACTGAACATTGTTCTGGCTTCCAGTACCGACTCCCAGGGCAGCAGCCTGACCAGCACGTGCCAAGGCAGCGCGCTCCAGAAGCGATCCTGGGCTGCCGTCCCGCTCGCCGCTTCCTTCTGCTTCACTGAGTTTGCGCCCCCCGTCTGTGCTAAGTGTCCCTCTCCGCCTGCTTGCATGGTCCCGCTTCCCTTTCAGCAGCCCTTAGCAGCATGAAGCGTAGGCAACCCATTGGGAGGGGATTTTAAGCAGAAACGAGAGCAGGTTTAATGTTGCAGTTTAAAGTCAACAATTCTCAAAAGGAAAACAAAAGTCAAAGCAGAATCTTAATGGTATTTTTTTTTTGTTTTCTTTTGTTTTGTTGTTTTATTTTTTGTTAGCAACCCAACTACTGGAGCTTTAAGGTCAGTATTTCTGATTTTTCATGCTTCTGTTTGAAATGCATGCACTTTTCCACCCTTGCCTCATCTCTGTGTCTATGCGGGGGGGGTGGGAGCTTGGGGTTTTGCTCAGGATTCCCGTGCCAAAACAGTTTCTCCTCGGTTTGGCGGTAGCTTAAGCTCGTGAGAAGAGCTTTATGGTTTTGGGATGAGTTGTGCAGAAGCAAAGTTGTTACCTGAAAGGGAGGAATCAGTGTCCTGCCCTCACCTAGGCCACGACAACCCTACAGGCAAATCCTGCTGCTCCTGAGTTATCTCAATGCAGCAGGGACAAGGAGTCCAATTTCCTTAACTGTGGGAAAAGAACAAAAAAAGCCCACTCCAGATGGGCTCAGGATCCACCTGTGAAGCTCAACGAGAAGAGGAGCGTGTCTCTGAGCTGCCGTGGGGGTGCAGGGCAGGCAGGGAGCTGCTCCACGCACCCGTGTGTGATCTGGTCCCGCTGGATGCTGCGTGCTGGTGCGCTCGGTGGCGTCCCGGCCACTGTACCGGCTCGGGGTACAGTGGGGACCTGTGAGTGCCTGGCGGTGCCAGCCCACACCTCACCGGCGGTGGGGTGATGGGGAGGGAGGAGGATCCCTACACAAACCGTCATGCCCCAGAGAGTGGCTTTTGCATGGTGTGTCGAAGGACACACAGAGCACACTGATGGCTTCGAGCCCCGCGGAGAGGGTTTGGGTGCTGCCTGCAGGAGGGGAAGGAGCAGCAACGGGGGGTGCCCGGGGGCTGGGGTGCTGCTGCCTCTGTCCCCCCGTCTGCCTGCATCCTCCTCCCTGTCACCTGGCGCTGGGGACCAGCAGGCTGCGGATGGCAGAGCAGAGGGCTTCTTGCCGGTATCCGCTGCGTTGTGCCAGAGCCATCGCGCCCGGCGCTGCCTCTCCCCGGCAGCACAAAGGAGACCCCGGCGGGAGCCTGTCCTGCCCGGCGCTGCCTGCCAGCACCTTGCAGACAGGCACCGTATTGTCTGCAGGGGGAAGTACGCATGTCCCTGCCTCCCTCCTCCTCGCCGGGGGATGCGGTGGCAACACTTCAAGGCCAGGCGTGTTGCTGGGTGACCTTGGCATGTTGTCCCTGGTGGGGCTGCTCTTCCTGTGGAAAAAACAGGCACTTGCCTCGGCTGGCAGCTCCGAGCTGAGTAGTCATAAAATGCATAATATGTGCACTTGTTCTGAGTGTTCATTCCTGGAGTACTTGTGCTGTAAAATGCGTGCAAGCAGCAGCTCCATGAATATCCAGCTGTCTGAGTCCTCCCTGCCTGGTTTTAACCACATGCTCTCTGTGACATTTCCGGGGACTGGAGGGAAGGCACAAAAGCCTTGATTTTATTTCCTTTTTTTTTTCTTCTTCATTTTTTGTAAGAATTGGAACGGGGATGAGCTCCGGGCACCCCAGGGGTGTCAGGGCACTCAGGGTGCTGTCCTAGAGCTGTGCGCTTTTTCACTTTGTGTGCCAGGCGTGGCAGCGTCCCCGGGCTCTATCTGCTCTGCAAATGCACCAGGAGTTAAATCGCCCCCGGGGGCCCCAGCTGCCTGACCCCGCTACCAAGTGGGGCATGAGCCCAAGGCAGCTGGGGATTGCTCGGCAGGGGCGAGCCAGTGCACGAGACTGATGCTGGCAGGCAGGTGCCGGGGGCTTCCTCGAGGCCACCTGCGTCCCGGGGGGCTCGTGGCTGCAGGCCCCCCCTCGGGCAGAGAGCTGCAATCCGCAGGGATGGGCTGCAGGGAGGGGCAGTGCCAGATGCCCAGGGACCCAGTGCGCAGATTTGGGGCTCTCCAGTCATGGGCTTTGCAGGAGGATTCCTGGGGGGCTTGGGGGGGGGGGGTGGTGGTATTGCTGTGTTTGTTGGGCTTGGGATGAGCTGAGCTGAGCAGATGCTCGTTGGCTGGCGCTGTCTTTGTGGAGAGGGGTCCAGGAATTGGGCTGTCCCCATTCGCTGTGGTCCCGTGCACCCCGCTGTGTCTGCAGGTCCTGCCCCAGCCTCCTGCCCGTGCTCCTCTCCTGCCCTCCTGCCCTGTGCCCCCACGAAGGCAGCCCCGGCGCATCCCTGGGGCTTCTGCACTTGCTTCTAGATTGAGCCAGCCCCGCTCGTCTCACGAATGCTCCTTCCTGCCAGCTGGGTCAGGCGCTGTGCTCGCACGGAGCCATCGATCCAGCCTCGCCATGGCCACTGTCACGCTGCTGCCGGTCCCCAAGTCCCCCGCCAGGTGCTCAGCCACGTCCCAGCTCCCAGCCATCGCCCTGCTGGTGCTGTAACCGGGGCATCCCATGGGGTTTGCATCCTGCACCGGCTCCCTCCCTGCTGCTGGGGTGCAGCCCTGTGACCCCGAGCAAGGGCTCGTCCCCTTCTCCCTCCCTCATCCCCTCTGTGCCGTGTGCTCACGCTTGGCTTTCCTTCCAGTCCCCCGGCGTCCCTGAGGGATGCAGTAATTTGCTTATTTTTGGAAGATGCTGTCACACGAGGCAGTGTTGCCGGAGAGCAGGGGATTGGAAGCGGCTCCTGCTCGACCCAAGTGAGGGACAAATCGCTGGGGTAAACGTCCATGGGGGGACTGAGCTGGCTGGGGCAGAGCCAGGACTTTACCCTCACCCCCAAATCCATCTCCTGCCACACCTCCCACCCCAGCCCCAACAGCCTCATCCCCAGGGATGACCTCAGCCCCCCTCTCCCAGCCTTGCCTTGGAGCATGTGAACTTTTGGGGAGGAATTGGGAGTTTTGGGGCTGACCGCAGGGACGTGGTGATGCTGCCCGGCTTCCACCCCATCCCTGGGGCAGAGCTGCTGCCTGGGCCGGGGGGGAACGGCACCGAGGCGTGTTTGGGTGGCAGCGACCAGCAGCTGTCAATATTCATGAGGCTGCAGAGGAGCCAGGCTCTTAAATATTCATCAGGCAGGCGAAGGCTGCTGGTGCCAGCAGGAAGGGGAGCGGCGTGGTTACAGGGGGCAGGCAGCCACCCGTGGCCTCCGCCGAGCCGCCCGGGTGATGTCCGGGTGCAGGAGAGTGTTTGTGCGTGGAAGCACTACATCCTGGTGCCAGGCACCTTCTGTGTGCCTGTGCCTGCAGGGCAGGGGGGTGCCGGGTGCTGGTGTCACGGCGGTGCCTGCTGCAGGGGCCCCGATCCCAGCTCGTGCCCGGCTCCCGCTCACATCTGGCTGCCGGCGCACATCTGGTGGGGACGGCCCCTGCCTTCAGTCGAGGGGTCTGCTTGAAAAACTAATCCGATTTGAACGCTAATCCTGTTAACATTGAGATCGGGATTAATTCTGGGTTAATCGGGATAATCCTGACAAAATGTTGAGCATTAGACGCTGGATGAATTATTGTTGCCGCGAGTGGTGCGCTTTTAATTCGGTGGCGAGCTCCAGGTGGGTTGAGAGGGCTGGGGGTCAGCGGAGACTCGTGGTATGGCCCTCGGTCAGAGCACCCCGAAGCTGCACCGTGGACCTCTCATTTCTCCCACCTTTGCTGCTGCAGCCCCATTTTCCTCCAGTTCTTGCTCCTTTTGCTCCCGGTTGTGCGTCTCCTGGCTCCTGTGTCGGGGGGCAGGAGCTGGGCTCGTGGAAGCCCTCCTTGCACAGGGGTTTTGCTGAGGTTTGGCTCTCCTGGCTGGCCAAAACACGACACAGCACCACGGGGAGGAAGAGGAGAGTGCAAATGATGTGTGCAGCACCAGGACAGCCGGGGGCTGCTCCCCCTGAGCTGTTTGGAAACTTTAAGAGCCCGGCGAGGTGATGCCCGGTGCCCTGGGTGCTGTGCCTGGCCAGGCTGCTCGCTGGAGGGGATTTGCAGTGAGACCCAAAGCGAGGAGGCAGCTGCAGGGGCCGTGTCCTGTTACCTGGGCTCTGCTCCTCTCCCAGGGCCGGCAGGCTGAGTCTCCGGGAGCATCAATAATTGAGGATGAGCAGAGTTCATTAGGAATGAATGAATGAACGAAGCAGTTTGCGACGCGCCGCCTCGGTTGGTGTTTCCTTCCTCTGTCTGCGGAGGGGTCAGCGCCGTTTCGGGTGGCAGCAAAGCTCCTGCGTGGTGCCAGCTGGGGCTCTCAGGGGAGATCTCCAGACACCGGACCGGAGATCGCTCCTGCAAGGCTTCAAACCCCAGCCCCAGGCTTCGAGGCAGGCACGGCTGGGCTGGGGGCTGGAGCTTTGCCCCCGTGCTGGCTCTTCCTGACCCCCAGCAGCCAGCTGGGAGCCGGCTGGCTTGGCCAAAATGCTGCCGTGACTTTTCGATGGGGAAAACATCCAGAAATCCCTCCTGCCCCTCCCTGCCTCTGTTCCTTTCCACGGCTTATAAAAAAAAAAAAAAAAAGTTAAAAATTTCAATTAAAATTTTCCTTGGAAACGACAGACGCAGAGCTGCGGGAGGGACAGATGTTGTTTTTCTCCCAGCTTTGCTAACAGCTTTGCTTGCCGCTGACCCTTGCTGGCAGCGCGGGGACAAGCGGCCGCAGCCCGGCAGGTCCCACGCGGTCCCCGTCCCCTCTCCCTGTCCCCGCAGCGTCCCCCACGTGCCCGGGGCTGGGTGCTGAGCCTGGCCCTGCTCTGTCCGGGGGGGTCACTCCCTGAGTGGGCATCTCCAAGGGGCGTGCACATGGGTAGGGATGAGGGGTGTGGATAACAGCTGATAGAAACAGATTTATTTTATTATTATATTTTGTAGGTAGGGATAAAATATCCTTCCCCTCCGCTCCCTGCAGTGCTGGGAGAGCCCGGTGGGGTCTCACCCCTAGCACAGCCCCAACCATCGGGGTGCTGCTCCCCCGTGCCCACCCCAAGACCTCAGCGCTCCACCAGCTGGGAGCTGCGGTCAGATGCTGGATTAACCGACGAGAAGGGGATTACGAGGAATTAATCCAGATCAGTGTCCGACCAGGGGCTGCAGCCGGGGCTTTGTGTGCTCGGTAAATAACCGGTTGCCTCGCTTTGCCCAGGGCTGGGCTCGCCAGCGCCGTGCCAGCTGCTTCCC